TGGTTTTTGAGTTCTTTTTTTTTTTTTTTTTTTTGGCTGTTCTTAGAGGATAATAGCGCTCTCAAAATGGTCCCAAAGACAGTAGAAGATCTCAAAATAGTGGCAACTGACACTAATCCATTCAAAGAATGAGGACTACATAAAAGACACCAAGGGGTAAGGAGTAGTGAATATACCTCATGCTAGTTCATAAGTACTGAACTACTCGATATCTTCATCAGCTAAAAGACATATTACATGACATTTAGTAACGGAGGCAGTGAAAGTTAATCTGACATAATTTTGACTTTCGTATTCAAGAAAAAATGTATTCTACTTTTTTATTAAACATCTTTTATGTATAGCATTTAATCTTTGTAACTCTTCTTTTCAAGTGTATTTATTATGTCCATGAGAGAGACTAACTCATCTCCAACAGATTCTTAATGTCATCAACCACTCGTTGCCTGTCCAGACTGTGGGTATGTGAGTACATCTGGCATGTATGAGGAGGCCTTAGGATGTGAACCTGAGACCTTTCCAGTTGGGTCCTGCGTCACAAAGCATTGCATTACCTCCATACCACTATATGTGGTGGTAAATAAAAATATTATTTTTCTGATCATATTCCCTTCAATGTTCGTGATGTCATTATTTTTAATAATTTCTAGTGAAATGGCTTTCCTTTTCACCAATATGAACAATCAACATTATCATCCACAGTGCTTTAAGCTTTTCCTTTATAATTCAAGGACCATTTTAAAAATTACCATAATCGAAGACTCATTTATATATTATTAAAATCTTTAAGACAGAAATTCATTTTTACATTAATTAAAATATTGTCATATCTGTTACCTTTCCAACACTCACTCCATTTGAGATAGATTTTCTTTTCATATTTAGATAACTATGTATATTTTAGTTTGTTAAATAATTATCTTAGTTTACAAAATTAAGTTTTGTTTTTAAATTTGTTCACTTTTTCTCCCATGAGCAAAAGGAACAGAGAGAGGAACAGAGAGAAAGAGAGAGAATCCTCAACAAGGTCTCCATGTCATGACCTACTCTTAGTCTAGTAAGACCCAGATCTTGGAAATATCAGCATGCTCAGAGACATCTTTGAACTTGAGCCATGAACCTTTCCATGTGGGAGTCCCTTCTAGGACGTTGTGTTTTACTACAAATCACTATCCAGTGTGAAAAAGTTTGAGCTTTTGGGTAGTAATTTTTCCACTCTAAAAACTGAATTTAGAATGTTTTGAATTCTTATGAAGTGTTTTAGAACATTCAGAGAACAATTTACTGATATATGCATTGCGTAAACAAAGTTTTTAATAATGAATGTAGTGTCTACAGACCTTTGCTAAGAGATTTTAGACAAGGAGATTTGATTTTCAAAGGCTAAAATATTCAGAGGATCTTTATCCACATTTATGATAAAAAGGGAATTTTGTTCATAGAAATTGCGTCAGGGTGAGCAGCATTAACCCTGAGTTTATTAGAAATTCCAGCTGCATCATTTGGATAAGCACTGAGAAGGAAAAGCACTAAGGTAGAATTTTATGACAATTGTACTGGAAAATTACAGCTTATTTGAGAGGAAAGACGTCTAAGTGACAAAGAGAACTCTGGAAATAGACTAGATATTTTTAAATCAACCCTATGGTTCACACATCCTTTTGCTCCAAATGAGTCATTCCTATTAAATACTAAAAATATTCACAGTGTATTGCAATGACATCTCCTTTATACAAACTAAATTGTATAACAAAAGCAATATTTGACCATGCATATTTTGTACATTTATATAATATTAAGACATTCTTCTACAATAAAGCATTTGATAGAATGCCTTGGAAATAATTTTCAACTAAGTAAATTATATAAATTACAATTTTAGTATTTCCTACCCACTGAGAAAGTGTCACAGAAATTGAGTAAATTGTAGCCTTATTTATCATATTAATATACTTAGGATGACGAGTTTATATTGTTAATCCTCGTGCTGTAAATACTATAAAGATTATATTCAGTTTTTACTATTTTTACATTCATTATTGTGTGTATGGGTGTGTGTACAATTCTATATTACTTGTTAGTTGCATTAATTTATTTACATGTCACAAAAATTAAGATATGGATTGTTTCATCTCCACATAGAAACTCTCTCATACTGCCCCTAACACTCAAACCTACCCTTTTCTTCTCCCAGGACAACCACTGATCTATTCTTCATCTCCACATTTTTGTCATGTGGGCAATATTACATAAATGGAATTAAATTTAATTTTGATTATTTAAAATGCTTTTTTTTTTTCTTTTTTGAAGAGATTTTTGTCTTAGGGCATGTGCCTTCACCAGGGAAAGATTTTTGCAATAGGGTGCATGCACTCACTGGAGAGAGACAGTGAGAGAGAAAGTGAGAAATCACCCTCGGGGTGGGGGGGATGATCATACTGCAATCCCTTCTCCTCCATTCTCCTTCCAGGATCTTGGGAACACATGCACATGTGCTGGCATGATGTATCAAGCCACTGGATCTTGGCCTCAAACCATGGTCGGCCAGGAGGGAGTTCAGCAATGCAACTGCTGGCCCTGTTTAATTTTCTTATCAGCAGATGAACTGTCCTATGCACAATTATGTTTCCATTTGTCTTCCCTCAGGTTTATAATGTTATCTTTTTATGGTTTAAATTAAATTACATATTTAATTTTTAAGAATTGGTCACCATCATCTCTTCAACTCTTGTTCTTCCAGTACTCTTTGTATCCTCCCTCTGAAATCATATTACATTTTTCTTCTTTTCCAGACTCTCAGAAATCTAAAATTCTCAACCATTTTTTTCTTTAAACACTTATGACATTGTTTATTTTAAGTATGTGTCTGATAACTCTGTGATGAAAAATCTTCATTTAACATTTGCTGTTTCTCCTTGTTTGGGTCACAGTGTTTTCAGTCTTTGTATGCCTCCATGTTTCTAACTAGTGCAAAGATTTTATGTGAAAAAAAATGAAAGTAAGGCCTAGAATGATGTTATCTTCTTTCAAAGATAAATGATCTTTTCTCAGATGGGCTAATGGCACAATAGGGTCCAGGTAATCACGATCCGATCAATAATTTATTTGATTTCAGGCTGAGCTTCAACACTTGTCAAACTAGTCTGTGTTAGGTTGGGAGATAGTGAGTAACAATTTTTGTTCTTCCGCTCCTAGGTACCATCAAAATATCTGCTTTTATAAGACTCATCAGGCTTCATATTCAGGTTCAATCACTTCTCCAGAGATTTGCTTAAAAAATCTTGATCTCCTAATTCTTTGATGAATCAGTCACTTTCTGAAGTCTGAAAATATTTTCAAAAATATTTGGATTAATTTTTGTTTCCACTGTGCTCATTAATACACTTTTGTCTGAATTATCTAAGATAGAATTCTCTATTGTATTGTTCATGTAACAGTTAAACTAAAGAAAGAAAAATAACCATCTCATGTAATTCTAAATTTAACAGTATTCATTAAGTAAAAAGTGATGCTGATATTGGAAAATGTGCTCAGTTTTATTTAGTATTTCTTTGTAGTATATAGGGGATTAAGTTTGCAAGTGTTTTCTTTTTTTTTTTTTTTTTTTAGAGGTTTTTTGCTTTATGGGGGAGGCGCTTT